TTAAACATCAAAAATCTCACAGAGTGGGGGATAGAGGTTAGAGGGCAGAGAAGGGTCATTATGCACAGGCACTGATCAAAGGGGACTTATGTGTAGCATGCTGGTACTGAAGGAAATTCTGGCAACAAAGTGTACAATTGCCACAGCTCTTCCAGCTTTAGATTGTAACATGCCCTACTGCATGGAGAGAGCATCTCCGTGCAGTGGAACAGCCACTAAAAAGTCACATACAAAGAAGTTACCTGTAAGCCACAGCAGCCCACGGCGCTCATTATTGAGGCATTATGAATGACCCTGTATGGAATCCCCAGCTTCACTGCTCGGAGCACTAAGTCGCTGTGTGTCGTGGCCCTGTCGCAAGGGAAGGGAAGGGATTAAAGATGGAAAATATACAGTGAGCATATGTTACTAGCTTTGTAGTTTTCTTTTAAAATAAAAATCAAATCACAAAACAAAATGCAATGCAGAAGTGTCAAAAGGCAACAACTTCACTTACTGTTACAAAAAAGTAAAAACTGCAGTAAAGTTCCCATATTTTGTCTCCCCCAGCTGAAAACACAGGCAAAATTACTATGCTGCTGTTCCTTATAGCTTTTTGGTGTCATCGAGGCTGCAACACTAGAACAATTGTTCCTTTAACGGAACTTGGGGAATTATTTGAAAAGGAAAGTTCCATTTGTCCTTCATCTCTTGCAGGTGTCTGCTGGACATCTGTTGAACTGTAAATGTCAGTACCACTGGGCACGGACTTTGGCAAAATCCAAGTGCTTCCTCACAGGCCATGCAGCGAGGCCTTCTCCAGCCCAGCTAGGAGTGCAGCACTCCGGGCAAACAGAAATTTGAGCATTTCAAGGGGAGCTGTGTGCAACACTTAGAAAAACATTCCTAAAGGAAATCTTCTCTTAAAATATTGAGGCCACAATTACTTTAAATAACACCTAAATTTGTTGAGAACAAGTTGATTCAAAATTAAAAACAATTCTAGCTATAGTTATAAATATACTCAATCTGTCCCTAGATATCTTATACTCCAGGGATCTTATACTGCCACTACAGTGAGTCACTGGACTTGCAGTTAACAAGATAAAAGTCCTTTTAAGATGATAAGTGATTGTACATCCAGGATAGTTGTATCTTTGAACTGCAACAATTTTCAAGTGTTTATCTTTCTTGCTAACCGTTTAAATACATGTTAGAACCTTCATTTCTCCAGGTGACAGAAATGCACCTATGCCTTACATGAATTTATCCTATCTGAACAACAGCCTCAGCCACATCCCTTTCCCCAAGGTGTATCACACAATCCTGACCATAACAAAGGTAACAGAGAAAGAAATAGCATATGCTGATCAGAACAGTTCAATGGGAAGACTGCTTTCACCCTGGCCAGGCTCAGTTCCCTTGATCTTTGGCCTGATCATTTCCCTCCTGCACACCTGACTAGCACCATTCAGCAGACCAGGTGCTTCAGAGCAACACAAACACAGCAGCAGCTGGCAGGGGTGTAAGAATGAACTATCAAATTACACATCAATTTCACTGGAGAAACTTACTAGAGGAATCTGATTGTGAGAAATTCAGAGACCTGCCAAAAAACAGATTCCCAGATCCAGTAGAACACAGCACAATTATGTAAACCAGCACTGCCATTCATAATTACACTGGAACACTGGAGGATTTTATGGTTATGCTAACTCTGACCAAGGGATCAACTGGCTTTATTTACTGAAATTTGCTTCAAAATTCCCTCCTCCCCCAGCAGATCTATGCATAATGACTGTAGCTAAAAGCAGAGGAGACCTCAGCTAATTAAAAAAGCCTGAAGGAGTTGGCCCTCTGCACCCCAGGCTATACTAGTATTTTTGTCACTGATATAGCATTCAAGAAGTTGCACAGGTTGTAATAACATGAGTATTAGCATAGGTTAGCTGAAGATGGGCTTTCTGGCATGACATTAAAATTATGACCCTCCTGCTGACACACTTACAGCTGTTACTACATCTCCAGGTGAAACATTTGCAGCAAACACCAAGAACTACGGCACAGAGATAGATAGTTGCTTCCCTCAACCATTAAATCACAGACAGCCAAGATTTACTAAAGGTTCAAGCCAAACACTGTGATTACTTGTAAGCATAACTGAAATACTAAGATCTGCTAAGATCACACAGTTTCTGTCCACCTTCGTTGCATCATCTCCTAGGACAGAAACATTCAGCTCTTAGTAAACTCATGAATCCCTAAAGCCATAGGGCTCTACAGAGGCACAGAAAGAGTTTCAGCTTCAATGCCAGAAGCTTAAAATAGATAAAAACACTGCTTACAAGAAGTGATTACTATTCAGAAGTTGAAGGTTTTTGCTGTTTTATTTGGCCTTGTATGGCTACATACATCAGTCTCTAGTCCTGAACAAGGGTACAGGTAACATGGCTCTACAGGAATACTAGTTTTACCATTAACATGCATTGGAAGTATAATTAATATTTCTGAAACATATAATCAGCTGCCCCCTAAATAGCAGCTTAGCACAATACTCGCTTGGCAATTCTCTTCACCTTGTATTTACGTTAATTAGCCACTCTTGATAGATGTGCACACTACTGTTTTCCTTAGAAGCTCTCTCTATTTTTATTTCCTCCCACAATCAGGACACTCAGTTATTAGATTTTTCATGAGCCTCTTAATAGAGTAATATAAATCTTTCATCACCAGCTGGAGACTAAAACTCTTCTCTATGGCTTGACACTACAGATTGATGATGCCTGACTGAAGAGATTGGAAGAGATGCCCCGGATCATAAAAAAAAAATATATACACACATACATACATTCCAGCAAGGATATAAAATGGAAACAACAGGCTTAATAAACCAAGCTAGGAAATTTATAATGGTGTAGGTGACTTTAAAATACAAACATAAATCAAAGCATAAGCATTGTATAATGAGCAACCAGTATTCAATCGGAACACCTCAGAATAAAAGCCAGTTTATAAATACAAGTTACAAGTGTAGGAATAGGCTCTCAAAACACATGCTTTTCATGATGATGTCAAGTTCAAGATTTTTTATTAACAAACAAAATCTGGAACAAAGTGAAGTCCAGCATTGAAAACGAAATAATAAATCACAGCTAAAGAAGGAATGTGTATATCCCTAAGCTCCACATCCCTATCCGTAAAGGATGTTTGGGTGAGAAAACTCCAAAGCAATATAAAATGTAGAGAATTACACATATATTTGGTATGGTATAAAAACATTCTGAAGAGTCTCAACCCTTCCTTCTTCATAAAGAATTATATGTTTATGAATGACACTCCATGTTAATAAACCAAAAAAGTGATCAGGTTAGAGCAATAATTAAAATGTTGCCTCACTTACCCAAAGGGATCACCAACCACAAGAAAAGCGACATCACAAACATCAGCTTCCTTTAAAATGCTATCTGCTTCTTGCTCCACTGTTTCCCGATCAGCCAGAATCAATTCTTTTCCATAAAACTCTTCCTAGAAAGTGATATTTGGTGAAAGAAACACCAAAATAAGACAGTCAGAATGGCTTTTATCTCTCTGCATTCCAATTTAGGAACAAAACCAACACACACTAGAAGAAACAGCTCAGTTATTTTTCTCTTACTGTTTGACTCACATATGAAAACACCTCAAGTTCCCATTAGGGAGCTCTTGGGTTGACAGAAATTACTGCCAGTTGTGTTATTGCACCAATGTGGTTTTCCCGGTGTCTTCTGTACCGGTTCTGAAGCTGCTCCTGCTAGCAGCTGCTTACAACAGACAGGCTGAAGGTCCCTCAGCAGTCACTAGGCCCCGTAATTCAGCTGCTCATCCCATTGGGAGCCATCCCCACTCCCAAGTTGGATTAACTGCTTAGACTAATTGTAGCACAAACATCAAACTTCACAAATAAGACACTACCTATTACTACCATCTTGTTTTCCAGCTTTAATTCTTCTTCATTCCCTTGTAACTAACCACATCTAAGGAAGGAGTTCATATTAATCCTTCACCTCCAATTCTCCATAAGGAAGACCAATACAATGTATGCAAGTAAATACCTTTGACTGTCCTTCAAGCACAACCCTTCAGCAGCTGAGGAATCATTAGGTCTCTTTGCATACTTTAATTACATTTACAGAGGACAACCAGAGATGCCTGGTGCAGCTTCACCTGGCTTTGGAAACATGCTCACCGATTACCTCAAACATCTGGGTCAGGCAAGTTTGGCCATATCTTCCACCCTGTGTTTACATGATTAGATCACATGGACCACGAGCTCTTGCGGGAGCCTCAGCATGGTGAGACATGCAAATCCAGGGCACTCAAATTACTACTCCTAGCAGACATTATAATGGAACCTCAGGCAAATACTGAAGTTCAAGGAACAAAATAAAGAGTATTTTTCAATCCAAAGAAATACTTTTCTAGGGATGTTCCTCAATACACCAGGTTGACTTCTATCTTGTTAGGATTTGAGAACAGTTATGAATATAGGAACAGGTATAGGAATATAGGAAGAACAACTCTTCCTATAAAGCACATTACATAAAGGCCACACACTCTTTCTTTATGAGAATTTTGGGTTTTTTTTTTTGTCTGCTGAAGCCCCTGGGGCCCCACTCGGGCGCTCCAGGCGGCAGGGGGGCTCTGCGGGACCTACCAGCGCCTCCTTGCCCACGGCGAGCAGGGACGTGTAGGCCTCCAGGTAGACCCTGCGGCAGCGCCGCACCGCCTCCAGCCCCTTCACCGTGATGTCCTTGGCGTCGCCCAGACCCAGGCCCACCAGGTACAGCATGGCCGCGCCCAGGGCAACGAGCCGCTAACGGTCACCAACAGCCATCAACGGTCACTAACGGCCACTCCCGCGCCCACCTGCCGCTTTTCAGCCGCGCGGCGCGGCCCCGCCCCGCCCCGCGCGCTTTACGGCGCCGCGCGGCAGCCGCTGAGCCTGCCGGGAGTTGCAGTCCGCGGCGGGGGCGGCGCCCAACATGGCGGCAGGGGCGGAGCCGTTAAATATGGCGGCGGGGTGGCCGGTGCGGCCTCTCGCCAACGGCCGCGGTCTGCCCGTGCTGGGGCTCGGTAAGTGCCGCCTCCGCCTTCAGTAGAGCTCCACTTATATGAGCATATCATATATACACGCTGAGTTTAGGTGCTTACTCGTTTCTCGTCTGTTGGTACTGATAAGGCCTTAAGGCACCTGTCCCTCACACGTGCCTGGGCTCGTACCGGCCCGGGGTCACAGCGGCCCCAGGGGAGGCTGCGAAGCCGAGCAGCACCTACGTGGCCTGAGAAAAGGGTTTATGTGGAAGCTACAGGGAAGGGAGGCTTTGCTGTGCTGTCTGCTGTGCAGCATGCGGCCTCCTGTCCTCCGCTTACATCGCTAAGTGCTAAGCGGTTGGTTGCCAGGCCCAGATTAACTACGGTGATGGTCTATGATGGTAGAACAAGAAAAAAAAATTAAATTTGGAGTGTCCTGGCCCAGTAACTTCTCTTAAGTGTGGCCTTTTAGAAGCTTACCTTGATTTGCAGTGGCATCACACAGTGGAATTCGGTTCTTTGACTTCACTTTTCTGCTCTTGTCCTGCTAGAGTAACGTGGACAGGTTTCTTAACCCAGACTGCAGTTCTTTGAACAACTTCCAATATACTGGCAAAGTCAGGTGGATTTGGGAAATCCTTGTTAAGTGCCGCAGAACATTGCGGATAGGAAAAGCTCAGGACTCATGAAGCTTCTATTTGTGATAAGCTATAAATATTAGCGATAGAGTCCAGTGTAGTATTATGAGAGTAGGGAAAAATATATGTAAACAAAAAGCTTCAACTGGCAAAAGGTGATAGCTTTTTTTTTTTTTTAAACTAGGGTTTTAGTGTGTAGATTTTTTCTTTTTTGGTTTCTGAGCGCTCTCAGGAGCGTGTTTCCATGCCAGTACTGCTTTGGCTTTCACATTTGTCTAGAAAGGTGACAAATTGGTTAAAGTATTATGTAAAAGGGAGTGAGGGGGCAAGGAGGAGATGCAGTAGTCATTCATTAGCTTTACATTTTGTTTCTGATAGTTTGCACTTATTTAACCAAGCTGGTCTTGACGAGCAGGAATCATTTCCATCAAAAATGTCTAGTGAGAAAGATAGATATTTGCATGGCAGAAGTCTACATAGTAGTCTACGGTTTGATTGTTACTTGAAACAATATACCAAAATCTGAGCATCTGAAATTCTAGATTTACCTCTGCATATTCATATTATATTTTATTCATTTAGCAATGGTAAAGCAAGCTGTCTTTCAAGCGGCCTGTCCTGTGTTAGGAATAGCTGTATAGTTGAAGTTTTAATCAACAAAGGAAAAAGATTCTATATCTTTTCTTATCAATCTAAAATGAATGAGTGTTTTGGTGATAATGAGATACACATGCAAAGCAATGCCTAAGAGGAGTTCATCACCTCCTCATGCCTTTAGGTTGCTGTAGACAATTGGCTGTATTCAATATGTTGCTAATAAGATAACTCTGACTTCTTTCCATATTTGTAAGATTTACTTTATTAGCATTTTAAAAACATGAGGCGAATGATTCATGGTTCAAATTAAATTTTTTTTGAAGTTACGTGTCTTTGTAGGAGCCGTGAGTTTCCAATTGCTACATATGTTGTTGTGAATCTTTGTAATATAACAGGGATTTCTCAGTACTTTGTTTTTTTTAATTTAACTACAGGAGCTACTTGGTGCTTATCTACAGCAACCTAATTAAAAACAGCTATTTTTTCAAAGCACCATGTAAGACAAAAAGTGTTTGGAAAAAATAATGCATGTACTTTGTATATGCATATACATATGCTAATACTACTGTTCATGCTTACCTCTAAGTAGGGAGCCCTCACAAAAGTTTTCATTTCATTAAGACATTTTTTCAGTAAGTCTGTGGAATAAAGTTGCTGTATCTAAAGCATTTGGATATAATTCACTGGGAAGATAACTTTGCTTTCTGAAACTGAAAGTTTCCTTATTGGAAGGCTGTGTTGAGTGAGGGGGACCCAATCTTGTCCTAGGGGTAAAAAGTGTTTGATGAGTTCACAAATCTTAGTAATATTCTTCTCTGAATATACTTTTATTTTCAAGCTAGACGTAAGCACTCGGGCATTTTAAAATGTCAAAGTTGTGGAAACTCCATACATGCTCATATATAAATAAAATTGTGTCTCCGTTCCCTGCTCCTTTTATTTTTTAATATACGAAAGGACCCAAAAGCCCCACTAAAAATCTCTTAAGATTTGTTCATATCTCTCTAGTGAAACTATGCTTAACCCCTTGATATGATGGTTATAATTCCATTGAAAAAGCTTTTTTTTTTTCCCTCTCTAGATGTGATAATTGTGAAATTCAGGATGTTTGGTCATAGAGCCTGTGATTCCCTGACAAGTTGTGTAATTGAGATATTTATTAAAAAAAAAAAAATCCTGTAAAGTTTTTATGTAATCTTTGGTGGAGCTAGAATTAGTAACAGAGCTCGGTGAAATAAAAAGTGCTCTAATCTGTTCCTATCAAAGTGTAAAATTAATCACATCCTTATTTTGGAAGGGGTTTCAGGACTGAAAGCTTACAATAGAAAGAGGCGTGTGCACTTGCACACACTCCTACTGCAGAGAAGCCATTCAGATCTCTCTTGTCTTCATTTCAGGGTGTTCCTTAGAGCTGCTTCCTGCAATTCAGTTTAGCTTTATCTACCCTAAAAAATCAGAAAAGTATGTTTTTCTGACTTGGCTGATTATGTTTAAGACAGCATCGTTTGCATCACAGCCATGCAAGTTGTCCTCTGTTGCTCCCAGTTAACAAGTGAGGTTTTTTTTTTGTGGAAAACTTAGTTGTGTTACTGCCTCTTCATTGTCATGTTCCTGCTCTTCCCTTCCTCCTCCCTCAAAAAAAAAAAAAAAAAAAAAAAAAACAAAAAAAAACAAAAAAAAACACATAATTTGGAACCTATGCTTAGTGCAGCTCTTTTAATGTTTCCTTCCAATACACCTTACTTTTTCTATATCTTTACTAATCCCAGTATCTGCCTTAGAGTTATTAATTCCATGGTTGCTCATAGTCCTTCTTAAACTGAACTGCGGTCAAAAAAAAAAAAAAAAAAAAGCCTGTCCTGTTGGTTCTGGCATCAACTGAGGTTTTGCTTTTCAGGTCAGTGGCAGCAGAATCAAGGCTTCACTGTCATTCACCTCTTTTAGTGTGGGGAGGTTTTTGTTTTATTTTTTCTCCATTGCTCTTTCAGGCTTTAAGGAAATTTATGGCACAGTGCTCCTGGTATCAAGCCCTGTGGCACTCCCCTCTCTCCCCTCCCCACCATTAATCTTATCTTGTAGTAAGAATTGACTGTTTATTTCTCCTTTTGTTTTATGACCCAACTTTTTTTTGTTCTGCCAGGCCTTTACTGCTCACCCGTGGTTACCAAGTTTCCGCAGTAGCCTCTTGTGATGAACAAAATGCCACAACTATAAATCTTGCTGTCTCATTCATCCTCGATTCCTGTAGCTCTGACCTTGAAAAGTTGCACTTGAGCTTTGAGGACATCCAGACATTTAACTTTTCTCATAGGTACAACCTATGGATATACTGCAGACAGCTATATATTTGTGGAGAGTGAAACAGAATTTTATAGGAAAAAAACATTCAAACCTAAGCATTTGAGTCAAACAGAAAAATGGTAAGGTTTGATGAAATTGTCTTTATACATATATACACATACACACACACTATATATATGTATTATATATGTATGTATATATTATAAAGTCATCTTCTTAAATGGAGATCTACATCTATGGTTGGTGTAGTCTACCAGATTTCTACCTTAAATTGTATTTCTGCTTGAATTGAAGCTGTGTTGTGAGTGCTGCCATCTGTTGGGAAGTACACAAGTAATTTAACAGTGTTTCCAGAGGGCAAAACAATACAGAAAAACAAGCCCTTCAAAATGGGCTTCTGGTGAATTATTTCCTTGTTTCATTGTTTATGTTATAAAACTAGAGCAAATGTGCACCTGCAAGGCTGGTGTTCACTTGCACTGATTTGTGTTTGACCTGTTGTTGGAAACTTCATAGCAGAAAGAGCTTCCTTTCTTTCAGGCTGGGCTGACACATTTTTTTGACAATTTCACTTGATCAGATGGATTGCAAAGGTCCCTCAATAAAAGCAATACACAATATTAAGTTCTAAAATAATAAAATTAGACTTTAATGACTGTTTAATAATTGGAGCTTTTGTCAGCTAAAGCTGACATGTTTTCTGTGTGTGTGTGTGTGTTAAGATTTTCTGTTGATGTTACTTTAAATGCAAAGCCTTCAAGCACCTGTGCTGAATGAAGTGTGACCCACTGGAAGCAAGTGAGGAGGTGAGCTCGGGTGTGTTTAATTGTCTTTCACTCTGTTTCTGTAATATATAGACACTGTAACATTATTTAAGAACCGTAGCCTTATGTATCTGAGTCTACATCTAATATAGCTGCTGGTGCTGCTTTTCCCTCCGCAGTAGTGATGGCTGAAGCCACGTGCTACTGTAACACAAATTGTGCTAGTTCCTCATGCCTGCAACAAGGGGCACTGAACCCTCTTCAGGCTTAATGTTTACCAGAACACCTGCAACACAGGCAGTGGCACAAGTGCTCCTGCTTGTGAGCATTAAGGAAGGAAACCCTCAGCCAAGGAAGGGGAAAGCTGTCCTTGTGGCTTTGTGTGAGCTCCATCGGAGCAAGCCCTGGGCGCGGGGCTCGCTGCTGGGGAAGTGCTTTGCATTCTGGTGCATGTGCTTCTAAGGCTGCCCCTGTAGCGTGAGAGGAAGGGCTGCAGGAAATGCTGTTGGCTTGGAAACCTGGATGGAAGAAAGGATATTTTAAATTCTTAAATGATGTGAGAACAGAGAGCGTTTGATCAGAAGCATTCTTTATTGATTAGCTTTAATTTGCAGCACTTGCAGCTGTGGTGCTGCTGTTGCCTGAGCTCAGGCATGCAGGTAGATATCAGTGGGGCTCTGCGGATCTGGCAGCTTGCAGTGCTGTGTGGTTTTGCAGCACTGGGATCTTAGGTCATGGTTCA